AAAGGTAATTAAAGCTAAAAACATGATAAAGCTAGCTAAAAGTAGCAGAAAGGTAACTAAAAACTAAAAGCATGAAAAAGCTAAACATAGCAAAAGACTAGCTAAAAGCTGCAAATCCTTAGATAAAATTTAAAAGTTGACAATGATGGCTACAAAAATGAAAAATGTAGCTAAAAGAAGCAAGAACCTAGCTAAAAGTAGCTAAAGCCAACTAAAAGTTGCAGACATGTAACTAAAAGCCAAAGGTAGCAATAGGCTAGCTGAAACCAACAAAAGGTTAACTAAAATCTAAATGTGTATAATTCTAGCTAAAAGTAGGAAATGGTAGCTTAAAGTTAAGAGTAGCTAGACAGCAAAAAAATCTAAACTGTAGCTAAAGCTCTAAAGGTTAACAAAACATTAGAAAACAAAGGATAGCTAGAAGTAAAAAAAATAAATAAATAAAAAGAGCTAGCTAAAAGCAAAAGGCTATCTTAAAGCTGAAAGTAGCAGAACAATAACTAAATGATGCAGAACATTAGCTAAAAGCTAAAAGTAGTATTAGAAAACACAAATAGAGCCAGTTTGCTGAAGAAAGTTTTGAAAAAAGAATTGTAGAAATATTAGTTTACTGTATTTGTATGGTGAGAATTTGAGCAATTAAAGTAAAATATTTTAAAAGTATAAAAGTTACAAAAACCAAAAAGTCGCAGCATATCTGAATGAGCTGAACGTTTGGACACATGCGTGGCTAAAATAGCCCAACACGTGCAGAAGTGTTCAGATTAGTCAATAAATAATGGGCAGAAAATAAAATCACAGGAAAATGACGACGTGTGAACCTGAGGATCCAGATGTGTAGCTAAACGTTAGCTGGTGGGCGTCTACAAAGAAAACGGAACTACAAGTCCCAAAGGACGTCAGAACGCTCAGTAGGTGAAAGGTGGCCGAACTCTTTGACCTTTAACGTTGTTCACGTGAGCAAACATTAGCCAGCGTGTCCCGACCTATGGAATGGTCTCAGTGCAAACGTTATTTTAGAGGAGGGAGATAACAATGATACGATGCGAGGTTAGGAGGAGAGGGCTGGTGGTTCATCAGTGGGATGTTTCTTGGCCACCAATGTTAAAAGAGCAAAAGTTTTAGTCGATTGGGCTGATTCTTTACAGAGCTGCGTCTCTGAAAACCTCCGAGCTGGACCGTGGCGCAATGAGAGAACCTGGCGTGACGAATGTTTGACGTCACGAGGAATGATTGGCAGCTAGCAGAGGCTGGTCTGAGCAATGTTCGTGTTCCTCCTGTCCCTGTTAGAGAACACTTCAAAGTGTTACTTCTCTTTGACGGAAGTCCTTCAGGAAGTTCAGGATCAAAAACACGTCATGGTTTGAAGTCAGATAAAAGTAGAAAATGTCTTCACAGTGTTTCTTACTCTGCCTGTTCCCAGTCTGGTGAGTAAGGGGGTCATTTTCAACGGTTTGGACCATCATGGCGGCGGACCTCTACAGTCCCCCATCACCCCTGGGGGACTCCCTCCTAAGCAGTCCGCTGTGTGGAGACCTGATAGAGGACCTGCCCGACATCTCTCAGTCCATTGGAGACGACTCACTGGGATTCGATTTCCCAGAGTACCAGAGCGCTGATTCAGGGTCCAGTAGCTCCATCACCTTCGGTGAGTTCAAGAGCAAACCGTGACGAACCGTTCGGGCTTTTTAACAATAAACTGGCAGCTAACGTCAACCACGACGATGCTTTTTCACTTCCTGTCTGCACACACACTGAGATTTTGGTGAGAAAAACACATTTTTAAAACGGTTTCTGTTGGGTCCGTGTGAACCGGATATACGGAGCCTCATATCACTTTGTGCCCTAAAGACCCAAACAAATATGGAGTCGTTCTGCCTGTCGCACTTTATGCTGCCCCGGTCACCAACACGTTTTGATTGTGCGCTGAAATGGTTCATAACTGAGCAGAAACTAAATGTGTTTACAGACATTTCAGTCGAGCTAAGCATGTTCTTCCTGTGTCGTTACTGGATGCTCTTGCCACCCAGTTTCAGGTTTTTGTTTTTATATGTGTGAAAAACAAAATAGGATTTAAAAAAATATCAAAAGCCAGTGTCTCACTGGGCTGTGACTGCTCGAGACTAGTGGCTCAAAACTGAGGACAAAAGGCAATGTTTTGCTGCAGATTCATTCATTCAACCTTTATTTAAACAGATAAATCACATTGAGCCTCAAAGACTCATTTATAAGTGAGACCTGCTTGGACAGACAAACACAGTGGTTAACTGGACACATGAAGGTGTACCAAATTTTGGGTGTTTGCCAACAGGGAGCTGCGCAGTTTCATTTTGAGCTGCCATTTTTGGAAAATCGTGGCCTTTTTGTTGCGTTCGCAGCTTGAACGAAGATATTCTAGCATGCGAACATTATTTTTAACTCATCTTTTCACGTTGAACCGTCCTGTTTGCTTCGTCTCCACCATGAAGAAAAGCAGATTTGGACCAGTGTTTTTAAAGTCCCCCTCTCTTGTGCTAAACTTGGCTCTAGAAATTAAGGAAACTAAAGTGAGACGGGTTAGAGATCCCTGCAACAACTCTGCAACTACGTTTCTGTCATGAATGCCGTTCAACGAGTCGCAGCTTGATGAGATGCTGGCGTTGGAGCAGACCAGGGGAGTTTAATCCTGGTCCTCGAGGGACACTGTCCTGCATGTTTTAGATGTTTCTCATCTCCATCTCACCTGTGTCGTACAGTGGCCCTCGAGGACCAGGACTGGACACCCCTGGAGCAGACGCTTTTTAAATAGCTGTATCTCTGATTATCTTTTTCCTGTTTCTGTGACACCCTCTGCTCAGACACCTTGACTCCCGCCTCCAGTCCTCTGTCTGGGGTTTGTGGAGCAGCGCTGGGCCCAGATGAGACCCCGACCCCTCTCCACCTGGAGTGCCGGGTGTGCTCCGACAAAGCTTCAGGCTTTCACTACGGAGTGCATGCCTGCGAGGGCTGCAAGGTGAGAAATAACAACTACTTGTGTCACAGTCCGGACGAAGGATACAAAAACAGAACTTTTCAGACTCTTGTGCATTTATTTAGTTTCTTATTGTAGTTGGACAAGTTTACCAAAGAGGAAAAACATGACACGAACATGTACGGACGCACGCACCACCCAGACACATGCCAATCCCATCACGCAAGGGTGCTTGACCTGGAGGCCAGTGGAAAGTTTTCTGGCAGACGGGTCATGTGAGAGGGATGATGTGACACCCTTTAACCCTCTTTGTTTTTATTTTTTTACACAGAGCTGACACAAACACGAAGCTGCCTTTACTAGATATTGTCACTCCTGAGATTTAATGGGGACATTTAGCTTGTAAGACATTTTGATCAGATTAAAGTTTAGCTCAGCGTGGATGCCACAGATTCTTTACATTTCAAGGATAACTGAAGTATTTATGACACAGAGATCGCTGTGGACCCAACACCACTGACGGCGATCGTCAAGAGTTGGTTGTTGAACCCTCCGGGGATCATTAGACGTTTGTCTGGTCGTGCACACAACAGAGAGTTTGAAGTGGACCGCCTGTTGCTGCTGCTACCCTTTTCTTGAAAAGTTTCAGTATTCACAATGGAACGAAAGTAAAGGTTTTTTTTAAAGGAACTTTCTGTGGTATGTTTACGAGTAATTGACATCTTACCTGTTGTAGAGGGCTCTTTGAAGGAGGTCAGTTCTGACCAGACGAGCTAATATAATGGCTTATCAGTTTAGCGTTCTAGCAGAAATAAGAAATTCCTACGTAGTTGTCAACTGCATGTAAGATAATTTCAATTCAGTTCAGTTTGTTTATATAGTGCTAAATCACAACAGTTGAGCTCAACAGAACAAAAACAGTCCAGTCAGCGTCTAGTGACATTTTTTAAGTTGCCTCATCTGACACGGAACCAGTGGCGATAGTAGGAAGGATGGTTTGGATTTTCTCTCTAAATGAAATAATTTTATTTATAAAGAATCTCATGAACTTATCACTGCTTATAGTTGTAGGGATACATGGTTCAACAGAGATAGGAGGTTTTTTTTTCATTCAACCTTTATTTAAACAGATTAGTCACATTGACCTGGAGGTGGGGCACGCTGGCGAGCGCCTGGTGGCCGGGCTTTTACCCATGGAGCCCAGCCAGGCACAGCCCAAAGAGGCAACATGGGTCCCCCTTCCCATGGGCTCACCACCTGTGGGAGGGGCCAAAGGGGTCAGGTGCAATGTGGGATGGGTGGTGGCCGAGGGCGGGGACCCTTGCGGTCTGATCCTCGGCTACAGAAGCTGGCTATAGGGACGTGGAATGTCACCTCTCTGGTGGGGAAGGAGCCTGAGCTGGTCTGTGAGGTTGAGAGATTCTGGCTAGAAATAGTCGGACTCACCTCAACGCATGGCTCTGGCTCTGGAACCAGTTTCCTTGAGAGGGGTTGGACACTCTTCCACTCTGGAGTTGCCCCTGATGAGAGGCGCCGAGCAAGAGTGGGCATACTTGGTGCCTGTACATTGGGGTTCACCCCGGTAAACGAGAGGGTAGCCTCCCTATGCCTACATGTGGGGGGACGGGTTCTGATAGTTGTTTGTGCTTATGCGCCAAACAGCAGCCCAGATTACCCACTCTTGCAGCCGTTTGACTCGGGACACGGTGACATGGAATTGTTTGAGGTGTGCTCCGGCATCTCCTGAATTCGCCGGCTGATGCTGCGCCATCATTTAAAACGGCGCATGCTGGACTGGATGGACTTCGGGCATCGTTGGGTTTAAAAAGAGGAACACTCAACTTGGGGAACTGGAGGTTCTCTTGCACAGAGGCTTAAGTCTAAATGTTTACATGTGCTAGGATTATTCACCCCAGACGTTCAGCAAAATGTTGGCACTAGTCCCGCTTACTCCCACATGTATGTTGCAGACCCACACATCTGTTTTTCCACCTCTGCCCATCTTTGTTGTCGTGCTGATGACTGTCATTTTTATGGTTCCCTTCCACGGTACCCATGAAGAGTTTCACAACAAAACCGCATGTTTCTGTTCTAAAAAAATGACACAAAAACATGATACGTAACACATAATAACCTTTAATAGCAGCGTGCCACAGCTGCTCGTCAGCATAATCACAGCCAAGATGTTGTGCAAGTTGACGGCTGGTGTGTTTCGTGTCCGTGTGGCTCTGGATATACGAACAGAAATGACATTTTCTCGGCTCGACGGCGAGGGGTGGAAGAACGCCCCGGCTGGTGTTTCATTCATGTGTTCGGGGCGTCGGAGGATCGTATGTGTGACATCTGTTAGTGTATGTTGGCGCCGTGCCCAGAGCGAGTGATGGAGAGCTGTAGCCTTCCTCACTAAACTAAATTAAATAACCTTTTTTTAACAGCATTCAGTGCATGTGTTAACAAAATGGTCCACCGGGGAATAAAAATGCACAGATTGTATATGCAATGTCGTTATGGACTGATTAAGATGAATAAACGGTTTCTCTCCTGTTTCATTCAGGGTTTCTTCAGGAGAACCGTCAGGCTAAAGCTGGACTACGTCAGGTGTGAGCGCAGCTGCAAGATCCAGAAGAAGAACCGGAACAAGTGCCAGTTCTGCAGATTTCAGAAGTGTCTCTCTGTAGGGATGTCCCATAACGGTAAGACTTCTTTAAACGAGTTTTTAATCACGTTACTTTTGTTAATTTTTACTAGTTCAATACTTTGTCAAAATTCAAAGCAACATGAGATGAAAGAAAAACGGCTAAAGGAAAATAAAAATATCAATAAAGACGTTTTGATCAAATTAGCTATAAGACACTGAAACTCTGAGGACGTCTTCATCTCGTATTTCATCAGATTTTTTATTATTTAACAACTAGTAATGGAATCAGTTAAACGTTTCTTCTTGGTTTCCGTCTTTTGGATTTAAGCTTCAAAACTGGCTGCGTGCAGCGAGAACGCTGAATGACTGCTGAAGTTTGTTGAAGAAGCTGAAACTGAGTTCTTAAAATTAAAACGAGCAGAACCAAAGCTGAAACAATCAGAACAGAGGCGCAAAATGATCAGGACAAAATGATTGAGACACGAGCTAAAATGATCAGAGCACGTGCTAAAATGATTGAGACATGAGCTAAAATGATCAGAGCACGAGCTAAAATAATCGAGACACGAGGTAAAATAATTGAGACACGAGGTGAAATGATTGAGACACGAGGTAAAATAATCGAGACACGAGGTAAAACGATGGGGACACGAGGGAAAACGATGGGGACATGAGGTAAAACGATGGGGACACGAGGTAAAATGATCGAGACACAAGGTAAAACGATGGGGACACGAGGTGAAACGATGGGGACACGAGGTGAAACGATGGGGACACGAGGTAAAACGATGGGGACATGAGGTAAAACGATGGGGACATGAGGTAAAACGATGGGGACACGAGGTAAAATGATCGAGACACGAGGTGAAACGATGGGGACACGAGGTGAAACGATGGGGACACGAGGTGAAACGATGGGGACACGAGGTAAAACGATCGGGACACGAGGTAAAACGATCGGGACATGAGCTAAAACGATCGGGACACGAGCTAAAACGATCGAGAGACAAGCTAAAATGAACATTGACAGGTAAAATGAATAGAACATGAGCTAAAATGATCTGTACAGGAGCTAAAATATCGCGACATGAGCTAAAATGATTTAAATATGAGCTAAAATGATTGCGACAAGCTAAAATTTGAAGAATTCAAGCTAAAATGAAGCTACAAAGAGGAATCTCTGACTCACTCTAAACTAAAACACTTTAAAGAAATGAACAAAATGCAGAAGCTTCAAGATTTGTCGATGTCGTCTGGAGCTGTGTCCACCTATGATTTAGCTCCAGTTTCTTTGTGCTTTGAAGCGACTGAGTGTTCATTAGAACCGAGCCCTGCGGGAGGAGGCCTGATGCTCAGACAGCCCAAACACATTTAGCATCATCTAGCTCCGTGCACCGACAGGTCGTTGGGTTTGTTGTCTGCAAAGAGAGCAGCGTCAGAAACAACTTCTAATGACGAATGTTTTTCTGCCTCAGCCATCCGGTTCGGCCGGATGCCTCACGCAGAGAAGCTGAAGCTCAAGGAGGAAAGCAAAGTGATGGAGACGGCAGTGGAAAGCCCCGTCAAGGCCGACCACAAGATTCTGGTCAAGCAGATCCACGAAGCCTACGTCAAGAACTTCAACATGAACAAGGCAAAAGCCCGGCTCATACTGACTGGAAAAACCAGCAAACCGGTAAAAACAACACTCAGGTTTGTCGCTCGATGTCTTTGCCTCCGCTCACAGACTCCGTCTCCGTCTTCACCGACAGCCTTTCGTCATTCATGACATGGAGACGTTCCAGTTCGCTGAGAGGACGTTAGCGGTCCACATGGTGAAGCTCGAGTGTTCCGACCCAGAGAGAGACCTTCAAGCTGGACAGGGGAGCCCGTCTTTGGACGGAGAGGAGCTCCAGCAGAGAGAAGCTGAAGCCAGGCTCTTCCACTGCTGCCAGAGTACGTCCGTGGAGACGGTCACCGAGCTCACGGAGTTCGCCAAGGCCGTGCCGGGCTTCCAGAGCTTGGATTTAAACGATCAGGTAGGAACACGCACTTACTCTGGGAGCGATTAGCAATGTCTGATTTCTGCTTCCCGTCTTCTCCAAGGTGACGCTCCTGAAGTACGCCGTCTACGAAGCCCTCTTCACCCTCCTGGCCTCGTGCATGAACAAGGACGGCCTGCTCGTGGCGCGCGGCGGAGGATTCATCACCCGCGAATTCCTCAAAAGCCTCCGGCGGCCGTTTGGGGACATGATGGAGCCGAAATTCCAGTTTGCCACGCGCTTCAACTCCTTAGACCTGGACGACAGTGATCTGGCCCTTTTTGTAGCTGCTATCATCTGCTGTGGAGGTACGTTCTCTCTGCTCTGTCACCTTTAGCAGCAGGGGGTGAAAACTGCATAACTTCCTATTTCTTGTCCGTCCAACTCAGACCGTCCGGGCTTGGTGGACGTCCCTCCAGTGGAGCAGCTGCAGGAAAGCATCGTTCAGGCTCTACGCTGCCACCTGCTGGCCAACCACCCCGACGACACCTTCCTCTTCCCCCGACTACTGCAGAAGCTGGCGGACCTCAGGGAGCTGGTCACGGAGCACGCTCAGCTGGTCCAGGAGATCAAGACGACGGAGGACACCTCGCTGCACCCGCTCCTGCAGGAAATCTACAGAGACATGTACTGACACGAGTAACGATGTTTAAAAAAAAAATCTGCCTCGTTTTAGGATTCAAAGGCAGCTCGCGGTCGTGTAAAGATGTTTCCTAGTATTTCTATTTTAGCACGAGCTGCGACAGTTTGACTCGTGAATGTCGTCTTTTACACGAAAGCGTAACGGGGTTGTTTGCGCGGTAGTAAAAAATACTGTGCGGGCTCGTTTTTATGCAAGAAACCTGAACTTGAATGCCTTTAGATGTTATTTTTTTAGTCCCGTTTTTGTGTAGATTAATTTATTAAAACTTAACAAATCTTTATTTTTCCTGTTCTGAGGTCAGAGGTTAAAGTGTTAGTAACGTGCTCTGTGCTTCCTGAGCTCTCATTTATTGTATTTCTTGCCACTAGAAGGAACTAGTTTTACATTTACTGTAATTTCCTGTGCTGTGAATTTCTGTTAATCCTCTAATCTTGTGTTTGGGAGCAGAATACATAAAAGCTCACTTTTAATCTGATTTGTAATTTTCAGCATTACATTGTTAAATATTTCCACTGAAAACACACTAATCTGTTAAACTAATACTTTGTAAATATGACAGTCTGATGACGGCAGTGAAAGAGATTCACGAATCTTCAGAATGTAAACAAAGCAACAAAATAAGAAATTTGTTTTATTTTTGTTGTTTTCAGACTGAATCCGTGTTTCAAGTCATAATTAAATGGTTTATATATTTTTGTATCATGTATAGCACATATAACTGCAGATGTCTCGTTAAAAAAAAATAAAAAAATAAAAGCTGACAGGAAATTAATATTTAACAAATTTTTATTTGCAATACTCTAATATTAAGTTACTGACTGAATGAAGGCAACTTCTGTTTGTTTATTCAACCAAACTTCATTAAAATGGATTGATTTAAAGGTTTTTGTGCATTTTTAGTAACATCTAGATATTTAATTTTTATTATGTCTTTAAGGGTTTTTATTTGATTTTTGTCATACATCGTGCTGGTTCTCTAAGTATTCATGACAACTTTATAATAAATCCGTTTATTTTAATTTAACATGACAATCTGTTCCCTTTAGTGCAGAAATATAAAATCTGCCACAACTTTCATTCTATAAATGCCCCCAGATATATATAATATATATATATAATTATTAATCCCAGAGGGAAATTATATAAAGTATTTTTGAATTTAATTGAAATGTTTCAAAAGACGTGTAGCATTACAAAGCAGCCTCAAGTATAAATTGCAAATACATTTTCTTAATTTTTGCAAATCTTTATTTTTTCTACATCTCAATGTTTATATTGCAGGTTTTTGTTGGGTTTCAAGTTACTTTTTGAGTTTAAATATTTATATTTCACATCTTATTTTGGATGTTTCATTTCTTAACCTGATCATTGTTTTTTAATTAGAATCCTGTGTGGGTTTTTTTTTTGTTTGTTTTTTATTTTGGCCTTTGTGTTTTATTTCATGTATTTTTTAATATGTTTAGATCATTTTGTGTGTGATTTAGTAATATGCAGTCATATCAGTCAGTTATTTGTCATACACACCACGTGTGGTGGTGGAACAAAATTGTGTACACAGGGTCCCAGTTACATCCAACAATAAAATGGAAAAGAAAAACAATAACATCTAAGATATGAACTAAGAAAAACATCAGCTAAATACACACTAAGCACTAGTAGCATAAAAACATTACGTCGAACAGCAGCACGAACATGAGTCTGTGTGAGCAGATGAGCACGAATGAACACAGCAACATGAAATAGATCAGCAGCAACATGAAACAGATCAGCAGCAACATGATGTGATTTTCCACAGTTATTATTCTAGTTAGAGATTCATGAGTCTAACAGCCTCAGGGTAGAAGCTGTTCCTCAGTCTAGTGGTTCTACACTTAATGCTCCTCTACATCCTTCCTGAGGGGAGCAGGGCAAAAAGTGTGTGTGCTGGGTGAGTGGAGTCCTTCATGATGCAGGTGGCCCTCTTCCTGCATCTAGAGGTGTAAATGTCTGATGGTGGGGAGACTGACTCCCAACAGACTTCTGTGCAGCCTTCACCACTCTCTGCAAAGCTTTCCTTTCTGCAGCTGTGCAGCCTCCATGCCACACGATGCTCTCCACTGCACATCTGTAGAAGAAGGTGAGGACTGAACTTCCCAGACCAGCTCGTCTCAGCCGTCTGAGGAAGTAGTCTCTGATGATCTTCATCAGGCTGGTGGTGTTGTTGCTCCAGCTGAGGTTGTCATTCAGGTGTACACCCAAGTACTTGTAGCTGGAGACCACTTCCACCGCAGATCCTCTTATGTTCTGCGGAGTGTAGGTGTGTTTGTTCCTTCTGAAGTCCACAATCATCTCTTTGGTGGGTAGGTGCACAATCATATGTGAGCAGAGTGAACAGGAGAGGGCTCAACACAAATCCCTGAGGAGAGCCAGTGCTGAGGGTTATTGTGGAGGAGGAGAAGTTGTGGATCCTCACTGACTGTGGTCTGTTTGTTAAGAAGTCTAGGACCCAGATGCAAATGGAGGGGCTTAGTCCTAGTGTGAGTAGTTTGTCCATCAGGGTTTGGGGGATCATGGTGTTGAAGGCGGACGTAAAGTCCACAAAGAGCATACAGACGTAGGAGTCCTGTTCCAGATGGGTGAGAGCAGTGTGGATCACAGAGGAGATGACATCCTTTGTTGATGGGTTCTCGCAGTATGCGTACTGGAGAGGGTCTTCATTGATGTTGATTGTTGTTTTGATGTGAGTCATGACCAGTTTTTCGAAGCATTTGGCGACTATCGGGGTGAGGGCCACAGGCTGGTAGTCATTCAGACCAGTCGCTGTGGAGCTCTCTCGTTAAACAACTCGAACACGTGTATTTCCTCCTCCGGTCCAGTTGGTGGCGCTGCGCACTCACAAAACGAGATGGCCTGACCGGAAAAAAAAACGCTAACCGGGAGCAAGCTACCTGCCATAAACGATGGATAAATCGAGTGAAAACATATTTACGTGCCAGCTGTGTGGCTTGAGTACTCCATTTACTTACTACGGTCAGAAACCACCGAACACCAGAGCTATCGTGTAAGCTATAATAAAGCATTTGATAGCTCTCCGATGTTAGCCGTGCTAATTTGCTATCGCTAATATGCTAACGCTACTAAGCTAATGCTACAATGCTAATGGGGTCGCATGTGACGTTTACGTGTAATGTGTAAAACACGGAACCTAATCGTTTTGGGGTTTACATTATATTTTCATGTCTCTGGCTTGTAAAATAAATAGTTAAATTAACTCCGAGTTGAGCCTGAATATGTTTTGTTGTCCTTTAGGCTGCTTGAGGAGTGTTTTGTGACTAAAGATCCTTTCAGTCCGGACAAGGAAAAGTTTCTGGTGCTGGGCTCAACGTGCGGCCTGTGCAGGAAGTGCGTCTGTGTCGGATCGGTAAGGCGTTTGTCACAACCTAAATACGTTTATTTTTTTAAGTTAAAAACTTTATATTAACATCTACATAAAACTGTTATAAAATACGAGTGATTTTAAACACAAAAATAAACATTGGCCTTGTTTCTTACAAATAAAGTCATTAAGACACAAGTATTTTAATTCATTTTTTAAGTAAAGGTTTAAATTTGACCAATAATAAATGTTAAAGAAAAAAAATGTAAAGGTTCACACACTCTTCAGTGTTGTTAATCTATTAAAGTCGTTTTTAACTTGAGAAATACTGACTACTGGGTGACTTGTTCAAGTTCAAAAAAGCAGAACAGAAGCTAAAAAGCTCAGTTGTAGCTAACAGTTTAAATTAGCAAACCTGTAGCAAAAAGCTAAAGCTAGTAAAAAATAGCAAAACAAAAACTAAATGCTAAAATTAGCATCGCGTAGATAAGAAACAAACTTGGAAACTGCGTAGCAGAAAGCTAAACTGAGCAAAACAGTAGCTAAAAGCTTAATAATAACTGATTAAAAAAACTGTCAAAGAAAAACTAACCCTAGCTAAAACAATAGCTAAACGCTAAAATTATTACAAGAGTATATAAAAACTAGAATGAACAAAATTACAGCTAAAATTAATATTGCCAAAGAAAACCTCAGCAAAACAATAGTCTAATGCTACAATTAGCAAAAGATAAAACTAAAATTGACTAAACTATAGCTAAAAGGAAAAACTGGCAAAACAGTAGCTGAACGCTAAGATAAACAAAAGCAAGGCCAAAAGTTACAATTAGCTAAACTCTAGCTAAAAACTGAACTTAATTACAGAGTAGCTAAAGGCTGCAATTATCAAAACTGAAAATAAAAACTTAACTAAAATTGTAGCTACAAAGAAGAGCAAAACAGCTAAAGCTAAATAGTCTAATGCTGAAATTAGCAAAACATGGGTAGAAACTTACCTTAACTGTTACATAAACATAAAATGATCAAAAAAATAGCTAAAAGCTATGATAAGCTAAACCATGGCTAAATGCAAAAATGAGCCAAAATCTACCAGAAAACTAAACTTAGTATAAAAGTAGCTAAAGACTAAAAATGATAAAAATCGAAGATAAATATTCTAATAAAACCATAGCTACAAAACATTAACCTGAACTTATAATGATAATAAAAAAAAGAGTAGCTAAATGCCAAATCAAGCATAAAAATAAAAAATGACAGCAAGTTTACTAAAATAGATTTTAAAGAGATTAAAGATCTTGAGCAATTGAAGAGATCTGAATTCATTTCCTTGGTAATTTTTATGTAAAGGTGAATAAAGTTACAGAATTCAACCATCACACCACGGTATTCCCAATCAGGCTGAATATTTTTGATACTGGAATTATTCAAATCTAGTTTGTAGAAGTTCTTTGACGTAAGAACATGTGGAACAACTATGAAACAACTTAGAATCTATTTCTCTCCATTTTACAGATAGGATGTATACAGATGGGATTATTGTAGGACCTTTGTCTTTGTTGAAGTATTTTTATATAAACATGTAGGTTTCACTTGTATATTCCATCAGATATTTGACCAAATATCTTCACCAACGAATATTTAAATAAAAATGCCTTCTTTTCTGTGTCAGGACTGCAGTCTCTTCTACACCAAGCGGTTCTGCACGCGGTGTGTGAACAAGCACTTGGACCAGTTCCCCCGGCAGATTCAGGCCGAGCTGGCGAAGAAGAAGCCGACTTCAAAGCCCGCCGTCTCGTGACGCGACATCCGTGAAACGCTCGGCAGACTGCAGGCAACTTTTATGCATTTGGTCATAAATGGAGCGGAGCTGTGGACGTGTAAACGCGTTAGTCCGCTTACTTTGCTGTGAACTGCAAAACAATTCGTGTTTGGTGAACCCAGTTTGCGTTTCACGGTTAACTAAACTGGGCAGTTGTGGTATTTTCTGAGTGTTATTGGTTATTTTAAAGGGTTATCGTAGCATAGCCTGGTTGGGAAACACAAATCTCACTAAAACTGCAACAAAACGAAGGAGCTGTATGTGATTTGTGCTCAGGTGTCTTCTCACTGCGTTGGATTGTTGCGGCTCGGTTTGCCACAATAACAAATTGTGCGGGGCGATTAATTGTCTCAAAAATTATTGCGATAAACGATAATATTGTTTGAAATTTGACAATAATTAGTAACGTCAAATTTAAGAAGAAATGTTGGTTAATTTGTTTTGCGTGTAGTACCTTTTTTGACCACCAGATGGCAGTATGAACCGAAGGATGGATAGTGAGGTAGTGAGCAGCGTGTCCCTTTAAGAAAAATGGGAGGGAGGCCCCTTGACGTGACATGGGTTGTCTCGCTTAAGCCGTTCAGTGTGGTTTGAGCTCTTTAGCATAGCATTTTTCACACAAAGCTTTAAATTAAAAAAAAATCTGTAAACAAGTTCTCAGCTTCTTTGTGCAGAGAAAAACTTTTTACGCGAAGGCACGGGTTTCAACCGTGAATTTTGGAGCTTCGACAAGACAAAGAAGTTTATTCCCGAGGTCGGTCTGTTAGCTTAGCTCGTAGCTTAGCTTCTCCGCTGCATTTAACGGTTCAAAAATGCAATTTTGGATGGTGAAAATGGATTTTAAAGAGAAAGGGAGGGGTCAGTGAAGAGCACCGGAGTTGAGCCTTTTGTCATCCGGTGTCTTCAGTAGAAACGATGGGGTCGATAATTTTCATTTATCGTGCGATCAATTGATTTATTGTTTATCGCGACAGGCCTAGTTGTGGGCAAACGTGAATCTCTTAACGACAGCATGAAGAGGTGCGGAATGTAGATCAGCCGAGCAGCATCAGAATAAATTTAAAAAAGTATATTCTTATTCGTTGTGTCACAACACTTGTACACTCAGAGTGAAAGTACTGGGTCAGGGCTTGAACCCAAACTTCATGGCATCTTCGCTTTTATCTATGTACCGATAACGCGTCATGTTTTATTACACTGCCTGATAAACAAAATGCTACTTCAGGATCATCTACCGAACATACGTTTGTCTCTGAAAGAAGGAGTCCTGATGTTTCCGAGTCTTAATTTCCTCTAAAGCAGCTGCTGCGCTCGTGAGACCCGAACAGCAAAGTGCTCTTCTCGCCTCATTTCTTACTTTCCTGTCTAATCAGAGGGCGATCAAAATCTGCTTCGGGTTCAAGGATCAGTCCGGACAAGGCCGCGCGGTTTACGGCAGCATAAACACATTATGGATTAAGTGTGATCCGAGCCCGATAACATCTATAACACAGATGGCCCGGCTGGATTTATCACGAGATGTTTGGAGTCTTTGCAGAGGGTTAATTGAAACAGCATGGCCGCCTCGTTTTACTGGCAGAGAGCTGCAGATGACACTCGTAGGGTGCGTGCACGTTTGGAGGAGGGACGTGAAGGACTGCATGTTCGCTGATTCAACACTCGCTTTGCTTTCCTGTGGTATTTACTTATGTACATTTTTAGCAATCTACTTCTGAATACTTTATTTTATCCCTTCGCATGTGAAAACGCTCGTCTCATTCTGGAGATGCTTGGAACTTTTATACTTTTCAAATTTTTTAACCTTATTCACAAGTATTTTAGCGTAGAAATACTTTAAAAACTATTAAATTCTTCAAAAAACGTTCTGTTTCAAATCTACTTCAGCTGCAGGCTTAATTTTTTTTTTTGCTGTATTTTTAGCTTACGTGCTAACTTTCAGATTTTTTTAGCCATTTTTTTTGCTACTTTTAGCTTCATGCTAACTTGTACTTTTAGTTAGCATTTTTATACTTTATCTTTTAATTAACCATTTGATCTTTTTACATTTTAATTAGTAATTTTCTAGCTTTTAGCCAGCCATTTGCTACATTTAGTTTCCATTTTTTTATTTGGTTTAGCTTTTAGTTCGTCTTTTGTTGCTTTTACCTTATAGCTAGCGTTCTGGTACTTTTAGCTTACCTTTTGATACTTGGAACCAGCTTTTTGCCACTTTATTCAAAAAATATATCTAAAAAAATTAGACTATTGTGAAAAAGTCAATGACTTCAGGAAGTGAAACTCGTGTAGATTCATTGTGTAACAGGTCTCTCTTGTAAATGAGTCCTCGAGGCTCAGTGAGACTAACCTGTAGAAATAAAGGTTGAATGAATTACGCAGTTAAATATTTCAAGCTGTGATTTATTTTGTATTTTATTAATTATGGCGAACAGATAATGACAAACCAAAACTCGGTGTCTCGGAAAATCTGAATATTGTGATAAAGTATTGGAAACTCGTGCACAGACGAATCCTGGACACATCCCACAAGTAAAGCCACTCCTGAACCAGAGACAACACCAGAAGTCTCTCCTGGACTGAGGACTTCAGAAAACCCCAGTGGACCAGCACCAACAGAGGACATGGACCCCAAACCATCACTGACTGGAAACTTCCCTGGACTTCAAACAACGTGGATTCTGGACCTCTCCACTCTTCCTCCAGACTCTGCGACCTTGATTTACAAATGATGTGAAAATTTACTTTAATCTGAAAAGAGGACATTGGACCACTGAGAGACAGTCCAGTTCTTTGTCTACTCAGTTTCTAGCTAACTTTCATACTTTGAGCCAGTTTTTTTAATACCTTTGGCTAGTTTTACCTTACTTTTAGTTTTAATTAACATTTCGCTACTTGTACATTTTAGTATTTCAACTATTAGTTACTATCTTAGTTGCTTTTAGCTTCTAGCAAACCTTTTGATACTTTTAGCGTGTTCTATGCCACTTTTGCTACTTTTAGCTAAGCTTTTGCTATTTTTTTTAGCATTTTGCTACATTTAGATACTATTTCTACCTTTTTGGCTAACCTTTTGCTACTTTTAGCTTGCATTTCACTACTTTTTAGTTTTTAATCTTTGAGTATTTTGTTTTAGCTTGTAGCCAGCCACTACGTTAATCTGTTCATGTAAAATGTTGTTACTTTTAGCTAATACTTGTAGCTTCTAGCTAACTTTGTGATACTTTAGCTAACCTTTTGCTACTTTTTAATCATTGGCTAAGTCAGCCTTTTGCTACTTTAATATTGTACTTTTAGCTAACCTTTTGATACTTTTAATCAGCTTTTTGTCACTTTCAGTTTTTAGCTAATGCGTTTTTACTTTTAGCTAGCTTTTTTATACATATAAATTAAACTATGTCCAGAGCCGTAAAATATATTACATTACGTTCAAAGAGGTTACAATGTTTTAAGGTTAATAAATACATATAGCATTTGTTTTGTGTATCTTTAACTGTTTTGGGCAACGCAGGGCCCCCTGAAACACATCCTGCCCACGGCCCCCGGATGTCCAGGACCGGCCCTGCTCGTGTTTAAACTTTAAGCTCACGTGAGTAAATTGCAGCCAGTGAAGCACAAACTTCCCCTGTGGCACCGGTCCCAAAGTCTGACAGCGATAGGCACAACGCCAAGATGACGGGAGGCCTCTGATGTCACCGCAGAGTTGGACATTTTTTGTTGTTGTCACAAAAAAAAAAAAAAAAAAAAAGCCTGATTGTTGGTGCCTCACCAGCTGAATAGTTCCACTGATTGGATCAAGTGTTTGTTTTTCTGCGACACCAAATCAGATCGAGCTGCGGAGATTGCTTCAGCACCTCCACGCTGCACAGTAACGTGTTTTTACCCCGCTTTAAGCGTTTATCTGCCGGTTTTGACCCACTTCAAACAGCCTGAACACGGATGCAAATGTGCTGTGTGAATCTGATCCAGGATCTGCTGCTGGGCCTGTTTGACTCGCAGGATGGGCGGTGCCACCGACGATTCGCCTTCTGTGTTTAAATAGTCAAGTTTCCTCCTTCGGGCTCGGCTCCGTCTATCGCCATGTTGGCTGTTGTTGTGACTTGACGTGTTTTTACTACGAACCTGACAGGAGCGGCTCCGCGCGCGCGCCCCCCACACACGCCTTCGTATATATATTTTTTTTTATATTAATTTTTTTTTTTTCCAACTTTTGTTTTTGTGATTCTTGGATGACATTCGCGGAGCATGCACGTGCCGTTTCTGCTTTTAAAGGGAGTACTTGCAGTTTGAGAGAGTCCAAAACTTCCTGCTCGTGCGCGAGCGCGTGGGTTTTCCGTCCTTGTCGTGTGTGCGCGACAAAAAAATGTCAGATGTTCGCCTTTCCGACGCGAGCCCGACGGTGGAGAGGGTGGACGCGCGGCAGCCCGACAACGTCCGCTCGGTGTCCCGGATGCTGTTCGGCACGCCCGACCCGGAGGAGACGAGGAGGTACGTGGAGGCTGTGCAGCAGGAGAGCGCGCAGGATTTTATGGAGCGGTACAACTTCGACCCGGTGACTGACACGCCGCTTTGCCCGGGGATATTCGAGTGGGTGGAGGACGACGAAGCACCGGAGTTTTACCACAGGCCGCCCCATAGGAGCCAACGGCCAAAGCGGGGGGAGGCTCGAGACTCATCCGGCGACGAGCGACCGAACGGCGAGGGGAGTAGGAGACCGGAGTCCGCCCAAGCCAGCACGAACGGTTCGAGGAAACGACGGCCAGGAGCCTCAGGTAAAGACTTTGTAACTTTTTTTTTTTAAGATTTGCGCTGCTGTTCGATTTATTTTTTTTTTTTTGGGGGGGGAGCGGCAGCGTAGTTCCACCGGTGTTGTGTCGAATTCCGTTACCCCCATGGAAATCCGTCCCGCCACTGTTAAAACGTACATTTTCGTCGTAGAAAAGTAAAAATCATTACGTCATGACGTAACGACTAATTTCTCAAACGTGAGGACTTGTTTTTCTTAACTGAAAAAAAAACTTTTATTTTTATTATTTTTTTGGTTAACCATCGTTTATAAACTAAAAAAGTATTAAGGCTGATTTTAAGAAAACAGTCTAGCTCCTGCTGGTGGTGTTGGATGGGGGGGAACAAATCGATACATCAATGACCTTGAAAGATGTTAAAGTTAGAATTTTTAATAAAGGTTTTCCAATTTGGTTGCAAAGATTTAGTAGAAATGTAAAAAAAACCCTTATTTTATTTAAAGTAAGCTTGTATCTAACGGTGCATCTGTGATCTGTCAGGTTCTTGCTCTGATGAGTGTCAGAAGAAGAGGTCCAGTTCGGACAGAGATGATGACGAAGAGGACCCGGACTGTGTAGGACGTGTAGTGAAGTCAGCCAGCAGGCCTGATGACAACCAGGAGGTCCTGTTGAATGCAGGTTAGGAACCTCAGTGCTTTAAATGTTTGGAACAACCACGAGAAGCTGTGAAGATCTGCTGTATTGTCTTCAAACTCGAGATTTATTTATTTATTTAAAGCTCCCACAAGCTGTGACTGGTTGTGTGTGTGCAGGAGTGATGTAAAGCAAAAGTGACTGTTCTGTGCCCGTTTCCTCTTTACGTCCCACAGAGCACTGAGACCTGTCGCTGGTGGAATACTGTAGGCGTTCTCCTCACCTGACGGAAAAGAGAAACAAAGCAGCTTCATCCTGAAGACGAGGACGGGCTGCACAAAAAGCACTAAAGACGTACACTATCGAGGTCTGGCACTCGTATCAAATCAAAATAGCCTCAAAAAGCAGCAGACAATGTAGCAGTATGCAAATTAATTTTTGCTTTTTTTTTTTTTTTTTTTAAAGAACTATGTACTACCTATGTTTTAAATGTAGCAATTAAGAAAGCATATTTTGCTTTTATGCCTTTTTTTGTTTTTAAATGTGAGTTTTGACTCTGGAAGTTGCAGTGCAATTTCCAACAAAATAATGTTTTTAGAAGTGATCATTTGTCTCATTATTCAGGTAATTGAATAATCAAAATATAGATTTTTGTAAAAGTCAGGGTTATGTGGAAACAATATGTTTTTTTTTTATTTCATTTAAATATCATGTTATAGACCCAGATGGGCACACTGTAAGCTGGGGGTCTATTAAACTGAGTTTACAAATATTTTGTCCCTTTTTTTAAAAAAATTATTTCTAACCTGTGGGTAAAGAGGGGTGTTTAAACTGCTGAGCAATGCCCAACCAAATTTAACAAAATAATCCTAGAAGTTAAAATATGTTTTGGTGACTTGGAGGTCACCGCCCCTCTGTATGTAGGTGTGGTCCAGGGTAACGGAGCAAACATGTTAAAAACCACTGGGCTTTTTATGCAAATATGTGAATCAAAGATTTGTTTTTGTGCTGTGGAATTCATGTGGAACATGTAATTGCACTATTCATTTTCTCCTTTTAGTGGGGGGCGAAAAAACAATAAAAAAAATAAAAATGGCAACCCCTCTCACTTTTTGTAAAAGTTGAAGTGTAACTTTTTTTTTTTTTTTTTTTTGATAAACACTGAAAGTTTATACTAACTTATTTATGTTGTGCTCTTTTTGTTTTGTGGGTGTGTACAGCTTTCCAAAGCAACATTATGTGCTTTTTCATAAATGTATATTTTCATCTTTTTTTTTTTTTGTAAAAGACGAATAAATAAAATTGCTAAACTGAGCCTAATAATCCATTTCATACCTCTAGTGTGTTTATTTGTTTTTCAGTGTTCTGCGCTTAATATTTTAAAGTATTCCAGTATTTCTAGAAGAAATTGCAGCATTTTAAAATCAGTCAAGTTTTTTTGCTTTATTTCTAATGTTAGAAAACTGCCTTTGTTTACAGCTAAACTCTGCAATCCTTCAGAAATAACCTTTTGGATACCGATGCGCCTACTCGCCGACTGTTCTGTGACTGCGCCCTTGCTGGCTCAGAGGCGCAACAGTTGGAGGTTGACTGAAAGTGCCACCTTGCTCGTATAAATCCCACAAGCAGGAAGTGTCGGGGCTCCAAGTGAAAAAAGGATGGAATCAACTTCAAGCCTACTTCTAGTCCTTTCACATAAATTAGTTGCGTGTATTCGTAATTATCCACGTAGCCTCCTTATCCAACAACGTATTGACGTTTCATCTTCCAGATCACCAGTCGATCTAAATCCAAACGTTTCTGCAGTCGTACGACGCCGTAAAAGTAACGTGAAAACACGTTCGTATGGGAGAAGTCGATTAAAGCAGGTTTACGGGGTCGTAAGGCCAGAGCCGAGCGCTGACCTTGACTATCGGAAGTGGCTCTGAACGTATTCCTGCGCCGTCGTTTACACGTTTGTCGTATTCGTAACAAATCCAACTCCGGCGTTTGCTTAACATCCTTAAACTTAACATCAGCATGCGACTATTCAACAAAGTGAAGTCCGGTCCTCTGGACGGTTTCTTTGTGTCCTTCATCCAAAGGACTTCATCAGTCCCAGGAGCCACAGCAAACTCAGTCCCATAGTTCAATGAGCATGAATGTTGATGTTTTGTAGCCTCAGAGGAGTCGACGGGAGAGACGGCGAACTCCAGAAACCATCTTATCACCATCAAACTGGTTGGTCCACTATGTGAGTGTGCTCCTGTGGGACTGAGTTTGTTGTGGCTCCTCAGACTGACTAAGTCCTTTGGATGAAACGTTTCAACAGAAATAACTCATCCAGATGATCTGACTTTGTTGGATTTTTTATTTTTTTTACCTGATTGAGCATGAACTTCGCTTGTTGGCAACAAAGCATGACTCGTGATTTTTTAAAAAAAATTTTCCAGCTAGTGAGTGATGCACTTTCAGTGTTTCTATTTATAGTAGATGGAACAAATTCAAATAAAAAACACGGTGAAAGATCACGGCTTTTATAGCTTTAAACAAATCATTTTACTTTGGGTGTAACTTTGCAAATGTTCTGTTCTCTCTAAATATGGTTGAGACTGACTTTAAGCTACTATCGCCACAAATTTCAGCTAAATTTGACCAAGTTGTAGCCATTTTTGTGTTTTCTTCAATTGGCTCGACTCCCAAAGCGATCCGGTCTTCGGCGTGCATCCACGTTCATGAGATATTTTGCTAACAGACACGTTATCAGCCTTTAGTGGTTTGCACGGATCATATCGGTCCGAAAACGTTCGGGAGGTTTTAAGAACATTCTGTTCACTTGTGGACTCGCAGCGTGCACGTTCAGCGCGCAGGATCTCTCTGCAGAATCCCTCCAGTCCAGCTCTGCTGCTTCTGAAGTTGAAAACAACAAGGGTATGTCCTCAGGGGGAGAAAAAATGAGAGGGAGGGAGGGGGACGTTTTCACTTACTGACGGGCCCAGTCTCCAATGGGGGCAGGGTGAGGAGAAGCAGACCACTGAGGAGGCAGCCAGTCAGAGCGAAGGGAGGGCGTTCAGGACAGTACAGGCTGTTCTTTTCATAAAACACACACCACCCAATTAGTTTCATTGGCCGACTCTTTCCTGTTGATACCAGTGAGTAGGAGTCGAGCACAGAAAGAGCTACTTCATGGTATCTCGCTCTCTCCGTGAGCCTCTGGAGTGGGCTCGTGACTTCATGGCAAACTTTAGTTTGTAATGGAAACGTCTCAGGACGGCGAGCTGAGCACGACAAGTCTCTCTGGAATGTGTCAGCAATGCAGCTTTTTACAACCACGGCCACGCTTGGCTCAAGTTACCCCCTCAGTTTTAATGCTGGTAGTAAATAGTATTTGTCATTTTAAAGGTCCACTCTAATTATTACCAATTGAATTAATTGTCAGCCGAAGTTTCACGAAAAACTCTGCGATGTCTGGTGCTCAGAGAATGTGTCTGGTGATGCTCAGCCACTACCGGAGGTGGAAAGAAGCAAACATTAACTCGTGTTCCTGTAATTTATGAATTTTCTGCACCGTATTTTCTGGCGTATAAGTCACTTTTTTTTTTTTTTGCGTAGATTTGTGAGTCCTGCAGCTTATACTTGTTTTTGTCGTATTCATAACGCAATTTTTGAGTGATGCTTTAAATTTCTAAGAACTGCAACAGCGAGTCCTCCCGTGCGCGCTCGCTTCACTCGGCTGGTGCAGGCGGAGGAACGCTGGAGAGCTAGCGGCTCCGACTACGATGGATGGATGGATGGCGTCACACCGCACAGGGGAAATGAAGCTGTTTTGACCATTAAATAAATGCAACGGGTCAGTGGTGACGCATACTAAATGCGACTTATACGTCGAAGCGACTTATATGCTGGAAAATACGGTACTTTGTTGTTAAGTAGAGCAGCACGGTGGCTCAGTTGGTAGAGCTGTTGCCTCTCAGAAAGAAGGTCGCCGGATCAAATCCCGGCTGGGTGACCATTCTGGATGTAGTTTGCATATTTTCTCTGTGCATGCGTGGATTTTCTACTCCGGCTTCCTGAGTGAGTGTGAATGGTTGTCTCCTTCGTCTCTATGTGTCCCTGTGATGGACATGCGATCTGTCCAGGGTGTCCCCCACTTCTCGCACAGTGACTGCTGGATATGGGCACCAGTGACCCCCCCCCCACACACACACACACACACACACACTACCCAAAAAAGGAGAAAGCAGGTAAAGATAATGGATGGATGTTTAAAATTATTTAAACCTATACTTTAAGAATACATGCTTCATAACGCCTACAGTGGATCTGTTCCTTACCGTTCAGCCGGTGTACGATCTGGCTAGAGCCGATGAAGAGCTGCCATAAATAACCGTAGAGAATGTGCACAAACTCCGCCCACTCGGTGGGGTCTTCGTTCATGGTCGTGGCGCGAAACTCAGCAGATACTTCACCTGTTAACTGGCAGACGCTGAAGAAAGATAAGTAAAGACATTCCTGGAACTCCTGAGCATGTTTAAGAGACACTTCGGCTTTGAGTTGAAGGTGGGACGCTAATTTAGTCTTCCGTTAGCTGCGTTAGCTGTTAGATCTGTTGAGTTAAAAACACATTTAAATTGTCTTGCAAGTTAACAGAACTCATGCTTCGTGATAAATTGTCACTTATTAGTGCTTGACGTTGCTAATGTTGGTTAGCTCTTTGGGAGCTGGTAGTTTAATAATGCTAACTTTATTATAACCTGACAAGGCCGCTAACTCTCACCTAAAAACTGTGAGGCGTTTGTATTTAATTTAAAAGCTCGTTTGCGCACCACTGGAGGGACACCCTCTTAAAGTACCCAACTTTTACTCAAAGTATTTTTTTTTATATACACAAGTAACTTTACTTATACTTACGTAAAAGTCAACGGAATTCCTGTGCATTTACTTAATAACATTATTTTAGTACTCTCCACCTGTAAAATTGAATGTTATACACTTTTGTGAATTTCCTCGGGTCTGTTGCTGATGGCAGCCATCTTGAATTAGGCTGTTTCCAAACGTTAATCAGTTGTGGATGTTCTGCACAGAAGTTTAATTAAAATATGATTGTTTGCTAAAGCTACAAACAAATTTATACATTCACAAACACAGGCAAAAATATTTTTAGCCTTTCAACTTTTTATTTTTGATGCATTTCTGTCGCAGCGCCACATACAGGCCTGGCATAGTTACTGCAGTAATTAGATTTTAAATTTTTTTTATGTGAAGATGTGCCTTCAGTAAGGTACCATGTTTAAAATAAAGTTTTTTTATTGTGTTTGAATGTGCATGAGTATCAAAGCAAAGATTTTTGCAGACATTATGACATAAAAACCTTTTTTGTGCATGTCTACGAGCACTTTGTGCAGCAATATATAATCTATTTTTATGTTTTCTTTTAAGATTTTATCTTAATTCTGTTGTTTTCAGTGCTAAAATGGGT